TTGAGGGTAATGGCATATTTTATAGCATATAAAACTCATTTCAGAAAACCTTCACTAAAAACACTCTACAACCTATAAACTGAGGCTCGCCGTGCCAGAAACACCGAGCACCGAAGGCAAATTGTTTACCATTTATTATTACGGCACTTTACACTGAAACACGGGTAGTTTCATAAAAAATATCTCATATTTCCATTCAAGTATTTATTCAAGTCAACTAGGATAGAATATTATTGTAATACAACAGTTTTTTTTAACTGAAAACCATTCAAAAAGCGATTACGGTAACATCTTTTGAACAACGAAAGAAAATGAAAGTACAGTAATGGCAAAAAAAAAGAGATGGATTGGGAACGCTAACATATACGTGCACATTTAAGGATGCCGCGTCATTTATCTTTTTAAGAATATATACAAAAGATTCTTTATTGTTTATTACTGAATATGTATTTGATTTAATTAATCTTTATATATGCAAAATGAACAATACAATTCATTAATACTTAGAATATTAAAACACACAAGAGTATAAGAGACGACATTGTTGTCAGTGTTTACTTCCAATGTATACGTGTGCACTCAAGGAAACAGACATTTATCTTAAGAATATGTACGAAAGATCCATTATTGTTTATTACCGAATATGTATTTCATTGAATTAATGTTTATATATGTGAAATGAACAATGCAATTCATTAATAATAAGTAGAATATTAAAACACAAACGAGGAGACAAGACGGCATTGTTTTCGTGAGTGGCGATGGTTCTACATAAGAAACTGAAGAAATTAAGACCCTGGTTGTAGCTGTAGTGAACTTAATTAAAAAAAAATTATAAAATAATAATAATAATAATAAACGGTTTATTAATAGAGTTGCAGCCGGTGGCTGAAAATTTACCTGTATATATGTTTTAAGTAATGCTATTTAATGTTGATAAATGGAACACTAGCAGTAGCTTACCACTAATGGTAAAGAAATAAGGAGAGACGATTGGGAACTCCAACGTATGAACAGTAAGTGCGTACATGTGAAAACGTATCGTCATTTCTCTACATATGAATATGAAAGCAACACTTATTTACTGTTCATATATGTTTTAAATAATATTTACAAATGTAAAACAAATTCTATTCACCAATGGTGGTAAAGACTAAAACATAAGGACAGTCAATGAATATTGTGCGAGTTTTTACTCATGACGGTGTCATCAGGTTCAACTTCAACATAGACTACTGAACGCACGCTGTAAGGTAGGTTAGCCTATTGTAAGGTGGTGAGCATCATCTGCTGAAGGCACTCCACAGCTGTTCATTACTAATTGGTACATATTTTACGTTTCCATTGTTTACTGGCAGTAACCGGTAAATATATTTCATGTCTAAAACTAAAAGTTGCTCCTAGCCCTTCCTATCATGCACGGATTCAACCTAACGAAACTATTACCCATGAAAAGGTCGACCCCCAATTTATTGCCTAAAAATTTGGTCTTAAAACTCAAACTATACACGAGTATATACGGTATATGCGTGTAAACACACACACAAAACACATACAAATAAATAATAATGGGAAAATACTCTCTCAAAAAATAACAAACAAATTTATTAAAAATGTGAGTCTACCCTCAAGTCTGTGCTTTATTATTAAAGTAATAAAGCACAGACTTAATAATAAAGCACGGACTTGAGGGTGGACTCACATTTTTAATAAATTTGTTTGTTATTTTTTGTGAGAGTATTTTCCCATTACAGTATTATTTATTTGTATGTATGTGTTTTGTGTGTGTGTTTACACACATATATATACAATACAGTAAAAAGAAATAATTGTCCTAAGGGCAACACAAAATGAATATACATTTCTTTGTACACAAGTAAAAATGTATCCCCCCCACCCTCAGTCCGCAAATGTTATTCGCTGATTTGGCAATTCACAGCCATTTTGAGAACCTAACCCCTGCGAATTTGGTGGGTCCCTCTGTAATCTTCCATCATATCTCCAGCAGTCTTCCCTATCCATTAACTTTAGTAGGTTAGGTTAGGCAGGGAAAGTTGATAAACTTGACCACCCCTGGCTCTCTTCCTTTCCACATTTAGACTTGTGCATCTCTTGACCTAACTGGTTTCCACCCTCCGCTCCATATACCTACGCCATATCTACCCATCTCTATGCAAAACTTTGTCAATATCCATCCACCTTCTTAGCTCTGAACAGGGCCTACTGTACTGTCTTACACCCTGTTATGGCCTTGAGTACAGATATGTTCAATTAAGAGTTTAGCTATTAATAACAATGGACTTACCATACAGCAGCAGGTGAAGTTTGTGTCCATCTCTGGTTAACTTCAGTTGGCTGGTTATGTTGATGATGCCACTTGGTGATGGTAGGAAAGTATTCTTCCCAGTGTCTACAGTGTCATACCTTCTGGTCCACTGCCTCGGGAAGATGTTGCATCATGTCACCTGCAAATGGGGATTCTTTCTTCAGTATGTTAATAAAGAATGGCAAAATAACCTATTCATAATGGACGAGTTGACGGTTCTGGGTAAAGACAAGAAATAAACTCTGCCACATTCGTAGCAAGAAAAGATGCAGGGGGCAGTGTAAATGTGTGAAGGCTGCTCTACAGTGTACTGCTCTATGCCTGTGTGGAGGCCTATGCGACCGTGCACACAGTGATATCCCCGTTAGCCGACACAATTGGTGCAGAGCACTTCCGGGGATGAGAGATTTCTGGGCGACGAGACGACTTTCTCAAACCCGGAAAAACTCCTTTTCCCCAGAACCTTTTCCGGTTACTGGGAAAAGTTTCAGTGTCTAAACTAAACATCCTGCACAGACAGACACTCGCCCACTTCCCCAGAATGTTTCTGGGTGCTTGTGAAGTTTTCCTCGAGCCTGAACTACCGGAATCCATTAATGCAGTTCTAATTAAGTTAGAAACTTCATTTCTTTACTATAATAATCCAAAGTAGTTTATCTAAAATCTATCAGACTTCCGGGTTTGAAAGATCCCAGCTAACGGAGAAATTACTGTTGGTCAATCTTGTATAGTAATGCAAAATTATGAACTGATTATTGGAGTTCTTCACCTATTCAACATCCAATTTAATTGTATTCTGTAGTATTTTGTATAACCATAAGTTGACACATTGCTGCCAAGATGTTCTAATATTTGATTATTAGCTGATTTAGGCCAAATTGTTAGTCATCTTGTTATTTTTTGCAGTTAATCTAATAACACAACAGTGATGATTTTTTTTTACAACTATTAAGTATTTTCCCGTATGAGTGAGGTGGGAAATGGTTCGAGAGACTGTCATTTAATGGACAGGTGGCCAGATGACGATATATAATTTGTGATAAAGGCATTCCGGTTGCCTCTGAGGATTCACACCTATGAGAGATGTCCGTTTCAGTTTAATGTTGAATTCTGTTGATTAAAATTAATGTTTTTTACAGATTTGTGGTGTATGCTGTTAAAAACAAGTGTTAATGTTATTGATTTTTTGTTGCCTTTGAAAATATTTGCAATTCATAAAGCACAACAATTTAATATTACATGTTAAAAAACTGACTCATCAGCTCTTACAAGATGTTTATTATCTTTCAAAATAAATAAGATGTAATAATACAAGTTACCTATACAGTAGAATGTCGATTTAAAGCGATTCAATTTAAGGTTATTGACTTAAAGCGACACCCACAATTAAGGACAATGTTTTAATTTAAAGCGAATCTTTCCTATTTTGTGCGAGTCAATGTGGCGCATCATATTTTAAAATTTGCATCTACTGTTTCTCTGGGCACGCTACACTGTCCTAAGGGCACAGCTGTACTGTACATGTACTAATGTACTAAATGATTACTTAAATATTTGTCTAGTGCAAACAATAGAATGTTTATATTCAAATTAATCACTATCTTAAAAGAATCTCAGCAATGTAAATTATATTCTCCCCAGTCACTTCTGTGACAATTTATAAACAAAAAATAAAAACTCAATCTGAAGGATATAAATAAACAAATAAATACTTCTGCCCACACAGGGGAGGGGGGTTGGGTTGTGTGCCTCTACCAACTGACCTTTAGCAACAGGTGCCAAGGGTCAGTCTGGAGAGACAACACATCCCAGCTGAGCTGCGATGTTCATTATCTTGTATAATTTTTGCCTTTTTATGCTTCCATTATTTTTCCTAAACATTCTCTGTTGAAATCAAATTGATAATCAGTGGCAAAGAGGATAAAGTATACTTACAGCAGAGGTGGTTGTGTGGTGTGCACTTAAACTGAAATAGGCCGAGTCGCCAGATGCACTATTGATACACTACCCACTGCTTCCACACTTACTATAACCTCCCACACAGAATACACACCCATCGGTGCAGGGTGAGATCGACGAGTTCCGAAAAGATACATATACAGTGTGATATGTCGGGAAGGTTGGTAAGTGTATCCTCATAGCCCCCCCCCCCTCCACTAGGTGTTGCCATATGGCTGACAATCAGGGCTGCCAACATACGGCTGGAACAACTTGCCTTTCCCAATACCTATCGTCACTGGTCTCAAATTGTTCACACTACAGTATGCACCGATACTTTTTGTTGCGAGTTTACATAATGGGTAGAAAAATTTATATATACCCCCTTTAGTTTACCTTGGCATAGGTGGTGATGGTGCAGTGTTGGTGGTGGCACCTCTTGTTCCAGGCTCCACTTGGTCATTTTCAGCTGTTATGGTACAGTTTAATTTTTCAAAGTTTTGTTGTAACATCTCCTGTAACAAACAAAAATTATATTTACTAAAAGTAACTAAGTGAAGATACGTTAAGTTAGGTCAGGTTAGCATTAGGGTGTTCAATATAGTAATCCAGAAGGAATAAGCTGGGCCTAATCTTCATGTTATCCATTCTTTCATCTGAGGTTCTAACTATGGCCAGTAATGAACGTCAATGACTTCACAAGTTGAGAAAAATTTAGCCAAGTGACATAAACAGAGGGCAATGTTTGGGCATTCAATTTACATATTGAAGTAAAATAGAGGTTAGCTTACTTCAAAGTTACGGCTATTTTGTAAAGGTGTATTAATATGTAGAAAAAAGTTCACCCAATTCCGACAATTCCTTCTGGTGGTAGCCATTGTCTACACCTTTACCTATTTTATTTAAAGGATCAGGATTAATGGTACAGAACTTATACAGGTTGTCAACAGCGAACAATGACGAAGTAGGAAAATTTTCACGCGTGACTCATTAAAGGCAAGAAAAAGATTTCTATCGTTATAAATGATCCTAGACACGTACTTTTAATGCCATAACATCAGTACTGTATTCGCCGTGTTTTTACCCCATAATTTCCCTCATCCTTCATGCCCCGCCCACTAACAGGGGATTTATGATCGTAGGATACGAAAAAGTCTTAAAAAATACTTAAAATCATAATAGAACATTGTCGTTTCTTTTAATATACTTAAAATCATCAAAACAATAAGTATTATAGGAAAAATAACGAAAATCGACAAACAATTTCTGGCGGTAGCCATTGTCTACACCTTTACCTAAAATAAATACAGTAAGCATCTTTATTAACATTACATTACATTTATACCGGTCTTTTGTTTAGTTATTAATACATCTCTCTTCTTCTCATATCTATATAGAGCCAATAAATGATGTGTGTCATATTTTTAGTTTTACATGATCTTTTAGACTGATTCTATTCTCTTTTAATTGTTGTGGATACCATTAACAGTCATCACAATTCTCTATTAACTGTCTCTCCTCACATTTATACGGGCTCAGTGATAAAAAAATTATATATAAACCAGGCATTTTCCTATAATAACCTAATAAGAAACATTGTACCATTACTAGAGTAATTTAATTAATATTCCCCAAACAATAACTGACAATTCGTGGATGATACCCAGGATGTATCCAAAAATATCTAAGGGAAGTTCCAAAGTTACTGACATTTTTGCGGCCGGGATAGGGAGCCATTCGTTCTGGAGACAGTAATTTCTACCTGTATTGTATATGTGTGTGTGTACACACAAAAAAACACAAACAAATAAATAACAGCAAAACAGAATATATTCAGCTGTGACAAAATTAACCCAAGAAACGACGAAGGTCCTCGAAAAAATCACCCCCCTCCCCAAGCAACCTATTTTGTCGCAACTTGGAAATAATCTTCCCATAAAAATAATAACTTCCATAATCCACACCCACATCATGAATATAGCCAGACCTGGAACTTTTGCCAAGGCCGCAAGGGAAATGTTCGCCGCCAACTTCCTACCAGACATGGCATTCCCAAACGACGTACCTATTACCAAAATTTTTAACATTACCGTATATACAAACCAGAGAGCACCGCAGATCAAGTAACATCAACCCAAGAACAGGTTATTCCCGACATACATCCTGACCCAACAAGCGAGGAAGTAACGATGGCGGACGAAGACGAAACCACCACAAAAACAGAACACCCCGCCAAATTCAGCACTCCAAAAAAAGAATCAAACAGAAACTATGGCACCACCACCTTGACCCAGAAAGACCACGGAGAACGAAGACCTAAGGAGACGAAATTGGTCTACGATTGTTCTCCACTACAGCTCCCCCATAGTCTCAACAGAAAGACTCATGGCAGGATAAAATCCACATATACTACAGACATAAACCTAGAAGACACACACATTGAAACACTAATTAATAAAGGATGACTCATTACAAGACAACAGGAGAGAGAGTTGATCAGTCCTCATATAAAAAAAATCTGCCTGGTTCTGCTGACTGACAGGAGGGTGTCAGGGGAACACCGGTCAGCAAAAAATGGCACAAACCAGCTCTAGGCACCAGCCTTCATAATAAACAAACTTAAAATAATCCAACACAATGTTTTAGCATGGATCCCACAGAGAGAAAGCAAACTACACAACACATACCGTAGCATAGACCCAGATATTCTCCTCCTGAATTCGAATGGTAAGAAAAACTCGGAAAAAAATTAAAATATTTAACTGCACAGTCTACCAAAAAAACAGTCAAGACCCACTACATGATGGAACTGTCATAGCCATCAAACGAAACATACAACACAAGATACACGACTCATTTCAAGAAAACTTTCTGGCCATCAACATAAACAGCCCAACAGAACCCTCATAATCGGCACCTGTCACTTCACTTCGAGAAGACCCATATTTCCACTAGCAGACATGCTCAGGCTAATGAGAAGAAATGTAACAGCATATTTTCTGGGTGACCTAAATGCACGACACCGCGTCTTGGGGCACCAGGACAACACCGTAGGGCAGATCTTAAACACATTATTGAATCGCAACAACGTAATTCACCTTGGCCCAGAATTCCCCACATACATCAGAGCAGGTCACATCGGACATCCAGACATAGTACTAACAAACCAGCATCACCATCTTAACCTGCTAATGGAACCCGGCCAATAACCACCAGTGACCATTTCCCTATCATAGTCACACTCTCCACGTCGCTAATACAGATCCCTGCCAGGATGAGATACAGCTACAGCCAGTCCAACTGGGAGGAATTTAAAAAGGAGTTATACAATCACCAAATCACCCAACTACACAACACACTAGAGATGTGGAGCCAAGCAATGAAACAACACATACCCAAGACCACTCACCTAATATTACCACACCCTCAATATCACATCAATCAAGAATTGTACAGACACAATTCAGTAACTTAATAAAATAAAATTAATCATAGAACAAGGATGAATGCCAGAATACAGAAGACAATATAACACCATACACGAACAACTAAGAAACACGTCCAAAGAAGCATATAGTAATAACTGGCAGAGACTAACAACAGACAGAAGCAAATTACCACAACCCGAAAAAATTCTGGAGGAAAATTAAACACCCAATGGGAATCTCCAGCAACGAATTAAACTGCATTCGTTACAGCAACCAAATTAAATTAAACCTAACCCAAAGAACAAGAACTCGAATTCAGGTAATACTGGAGCAAAATATTTCAAACATGTCACGAAGACGACCCGAACTTCCGTATGAACACCGAGCGACAAGTAACCAATCACATGACATACACAACCCACATCTGCCAACAGTTCCAACATAGACATTAACTCTCTCGACGATTTATCCACACCGATCAATCCAATCACCGCAGAGGAAATACACAGAACAATAAACAGTTTCAAGAACAAGGCTACGGGCATCAGCAAAATAAACAAACCCATACTCCAGCAACTACCAATCAACATGATACTCCAACTCAGAAACAATTTTAATGCATCACTCGCCTCTGGTTACTTCCCAAGAAAATTCAAAACAGCGAGCATGAGATTTATACCAAAACGAGGTAGATCCCCCACACAAGTATCAAACTACAGACCAATCTCTCTTCTGGAAACACCGGGAAAAGTCATGGAAAAAATCACGTACCACCGACTGAGAACTTGAAGAGAAATTCAACCCCAGGCAGCATGGATTTAGAAAACACACAGGAACCCACACAGCCTTAGCCCTAATTTACGAAAACATAGCAAACGCAATGCACAACAGAGATCAATGTAACGTTGTATTAAGGGACGGAGCAAAAGCATTCGACAAGGTCTGGCACTTAGGGCTCAAATACAAAATAACCAACCAAGAACTTCCTAACAACTTCACTTTTTTGATAACCACATGAGCCCAAGCATCAAGTTATACATACAGTGGAGTACCACAGGGAAGTAATCTCTTGCCAACACACTACACAATATACACATTGGACATGCCACCTCCTACCCACGGAGAATACATAGCTTATGCTGATGACGTCACCCAAATCATCCGACATCCAGGCAAGGGCAAACAGATGATGGCACGAAAAACAGCCCACGCCATCGAGAAAATCAACGAATATGAAAAAAGTCGAAAATAGAAACCAATACACAGAAACTAAAGATCATAATGTACACATTGCCAAAATAAACCCAGCACCAATCACAGTCAACAACGTAACTATACAACACTCCAACGAAGGCAAGATTCTGTGACTCACAATAACAAGAACAGGCACAGCAAAACACAACACAATGCTTGCCCAATCACAACTCACAAAACTACGAAGATTTAGCAAAATGGCCACCAAAATTCAACTACACCTATTAAAAGTACTTGTCCGCCCCCACCTGGAGTATCCACCAATACCACTCAGCAAAACCAGCCAACTTAAACTTCAATCAGTACAAAACAAAATTATCCATAGAGCATCAAAACAACTCCCCCCATACACCACCAAAATACAAGAACTTAAGGACTATACAATATCGAACCACTGAACAAACACACGTACACAGCCATGCCCAGAGAATTTGGTCAAACTTGATGAGTTGGAGGGCCCAATCTTCCCCCAGTTAAAAGGAGAAACCACAAGAGCACAGCTGGTGGCCCAAGAGCCTCCATGATAACAAGACCCACTTTACACATAGATGTGAACAAATAATACCACCATTTAACAAACATAAATTAACACACATTATACTAATGAATGTCTAGCTAGCTTAGCTAGATGTAAATTTGTTTAAGGTGTAGAAGCTGTCGCCAACACAACAACCACACCCTAAGTTAACGAGCTGCATGACCCAGTGTCAAGGAACAGTCCGAGAAGACCGGACAACTCGCCAACTGCACTGGCTAACCATTACTCCGGAACACGATTAACATCCAGGTTCCCAATTACTGCTGGGTAGACAGGCAAATGGCAGAGAGAAATTTACCCATAGTTTCACCCTGCAAGGGGATCAAACCCGGGTTCACTCACTTGTAAGGAGAGCATGCTGACCATCACACACCTTTGCCTTGACAACATAGACTAGGTATCACTACCTCACACATCAATCCAGCACTCTAAACAATTGATTGCAACCATAAAATTCTCAAAATTTAATACAGTACGGGGGGACTTATGCAATACAGGTACTACCTCAAAATCAAATAAAACACATCCAAAACCACCAGAAAAACACACTGCTCCAATCAAAGGCCAACCAAGCCTCTTCTTTGGTGAAGCAGCATGGTGAAGTAATATTTTATTTACTTTTTATTTATTTTTTTTTTTTTACGGATGTGAGATATGCTTGGACCTAGTAAATAGGTTGCAAACAAGCAGACGACACGCGGTGATGGTATATTTTTCGGAGGAGTATTTACAGTAAATAGCCAAAATTTTTAAATATATCGCATAGCCTACATGTAATTTGTGATAAAAAAAAAAACCGACAAGTAATAAGTGTGAGATCTGCTCACAGCAACTATTCATTTACAAATATCTTTTGAGAGTTCACTTGTAAAATAATACCCATAAGTAAAGGTTAATTACCATCTTTACTTTACAAGTATTTATAATTTGTGACGGTAATGACATAGAAGAAACATGACTCAGATGGTTGATTTCCATCTATATATAGAAACTACGACTTTTCAATAGCTGTCCAGAGTTCACTTGTAAAATGAAACTGGTTACTTTAAGTTGGGTCAGATTTTGTAGGTTCTGTGTATATTATCATTTCCATTTACATATTTAATAGATTGCAATTAACGTTTCCACAAAGTTTTGTCCAATTCTATCAACTTCTGGGGTTATTCTGAAAAACATACCTAACCGACAACTGGACAGTTATCCAGCTTATTATTTGGTGCTGTACAACTAGTACTCGAGCAAATCGTACCCATCAAATACGTCAAGTCATGCCCAATTACAAGATAACACGTACCCAATTTACGAGACAGTTCGTACCCAAATATATATACAGTGGTCCCTCGGTTAACGAGCACAATTCGTTCCAGAAGGTTGCTCGTTAACCGAAACCATTGTTTCAATGGGTTTTTGGGCAATTAGTTCCAGCTCACCGAAAATTGCCTAAAATCTACAAAAAAGGTAGTACAGTGGGGTATGCTATAACGAATGGATTCTACTACGAATATTCCTATAATGAACGGTTTTACCTATAAAATTGAGAATGCTATAACGAACGAAACTCCTACAACGAATTTTTTTTTTACTAATTAATTGTTTTTTTTTTATTACAAGTATTAATGATATTCTTTATTTCAGGGGTTTAGATGCATATTTATGCACTTTTTTACAATTTTTTCAATTTTATATTATATTTTTCAGTGTTATGTGGTTGTATTTGGGGGCCTGGAACGGATTAATCCTATAACGAACGAATGCTATAACGAACAAGGTTCTAGAACCAATTAGATTCGTTATAGCATACCCCACTGTAAAGTACACTTACTTTGAGGTGTGTATGTAGAAGGCTCCTGGATGATGATGATGGGAATTAGAATGGGGGTGGAGGAGAAGGGAGAAGAGAAGGCATTGGAGTGGAAGAGAAGTCACCCCATGGCGCCATTTCACCTATAAAATTTTAGTTCTCTTGGTGTAATTCAAGATTATTTTCTTTAAATCAACACTGCACTGCATTATATATTGTCAATATGTAAAATAAATTTCAAAATGACCAATAATTTGCTTGCAAACACAGGAAAAAAGAATTTTGTTGAAGAGAGTCTCAAGCAAGATGTTACCTCCACTGAAAAGACACAGAGACTGACGCCTGTTTGGTGTGTTGACAGGCTGTTTGGCGCGCATAAAACTAGTTTCCTGTACAGTAAAAGTCCAAAAATACGGATGCCAGAAATCCGGACCACCCGAGAATCCGGACTTTTCGAAAACTCAAACTTTCTTCTTTTTTTTTTTAGCTGGCTTTTGTGTGTATGTGCGCATGCGTGAGAGCCACGGCTGCACAGCGACCACGCGGTCGCCACTTTAAAACGAGCAATCGAAATGTGACAACGTATGTAATTTTGAGCCCTACTCTTTCCATTTACAGAGCCCATAATAATGGCTCCTAAAGTAGATAAACTTCGTTGTGTGAAGAGAAAGAAGAACACGTTGAAATTGAGTGACAAACTTTAAATAATTAAAATAGAACATGGTATGAGCAATACTGTTCTAATGGAAACATACAACATTGGAAAGTCTACAATTTATGATATAAAAAAGGCAAAGAATAAAATTCTAGAATTCACAGCTTTTTCTTTAAAACTGCTTGTGTTGATAAATGAACCATGCTATATTTGCTAATGAATAAACTATCAAAATGTATCTGTTCATCTCTTCTTTATTCCTTCTAAATTTGAATTTTAAAAGTACTGCCTGAGAATCCGGAAAATCCGAAAATCCGGACCGACCCAATCCCCAAGCAGTCCGGATTTTTGGACTTCTACTGTACTTCAATTATGTTCAATAATTGTTAAAATGACAACAAAATTTAATATTAAACTTTTATAATTATTAAATAGTATAAACTTCTTGATATTTACTAAAATAGTAAAGAATTTAAGCCCTAGAAACGATTACTGTATTGGCGGACTAATACTACAGCTGGTGGACCGCCAAATGCATGTGAAAACATGTGGAGGGTCGCTCGTTAATCGAGGGATTGCTCGTTAACCGAAGTTAAGAATCTTATGGAAGGTAATTCGTTAACCGAAGGATCACTGTATATTTATATATATATATATATATATATATATATATATATATATATATATATATATATATATATATATATATATATATATATATATATATATATATATATATATATATATATATATATACGGTATATATATTTCATGTAGATCCACAATGAAAATGTGGATAAGATAAATCACACAGGAAATGATGGAAACAATGGAGCACCTTAGCTGTCGTCTTTATTCAAGACATCTTCAGAAGCAACTGAATTACAAAGACTGAGAGAGGCTAAGTACACAGGGTGACCTTACTAAACATGAGGTCAGGTCATAAACATGACATCCAATAATCCGCACACCAACACCACCACACAGGGGGGTCGGCGCCCAGCTAGGGGTCAGGCTAGGCGTGGTGTGAGTCAGGAGGCGTAGCCACCCTGCTAGGAGTTAGGTTAGGTTTTGTTAGGCCAGATGACTCGTGTTCTCCCCCACCCATAAACTTCGATTTCCCAGGCTCTCTCCCACTATTGTTGGGGGGGGGGGAGAACCTAGCAATTTCCGCCAAAAATGAAGGTCACCTTAACTTAATTGGTAATACATAGAGGTTAGGTTTCAACAGTGATTTGGAAGTTGAATTCTCGTAACAAAAAGGAGCCACAGCCATTAAACGAATATTTACCTGTATTACTTCAAAACTGTGTAAAACACACTACATCCCAGAAGAAACGTACATTGGTCAACTCAAGAACAAACCTAACCTAACTTATATTGGTTGAAAAATATGCAACATATTACCAAACGATGATTTATCTAGTACTTCACAAAGTTCCCACTCACAAATTTTACCCCCAGTACAACCCAAAGATTATCAAAGTTATCAACATTTTTACTTACCAATTTGTTAGTGACGGTGTAGTATTACTGTTCACTTGTGTCCGCCATACACAACACCTTCCGCCATTCATTATTCCTTCATCCATTTCTCTGGCGAAGATTTGTTCATCTTTCGTAATGGTATAAACATAACACAAGTCTCAACTATAAACAATAAATACAACAATTATTAAAGCTGTAGCCAGAGGATCAAGCTCCTACGTGGAGGTGTTCATACTCTTCACCGATGAGATTTTGTTTACCTGAACACTATGTCAATTCTCACGTCTTATAGGGAGGACGACATGGCGGCTTGATTGACTAATACAAATTTAAAACACATTAATGTCACCAAACAAAAATTTCAAAACCTTACTTAACTTATTAAAGGTTATGATTCATTTAAGAAAACACCATCGCATACCAAACACCGAAAATACCACAAGAACTAGCTTCTCTCTTTATTCAAACGCCCAAATATTTATTAGATAATTTTCATACTTCGTCTGTAAAAAACTGTAGATATTTTCATAATTAGGACGTAAAACTACGCGATTATTTTTTATTAATCCCACGTATTGTGCTAAACAATGAGTGGGGTTAGGTTTTATTTACTTTATCCTCTTCACCACTGATCGGCTAGCGAAGCCGCTTGGGCGATCGGTCACGTCTAATTACTTTTCCTTTTATTAGGCTCTATGCATTATCGTGTTAATTTGTGTAAAACAACGTTTACCTTAATATTGAGGTTCATATACATCAATAATGGCGAGGAGGAATACGTGGAAGCGTTCACCATCATTTATAGGAAACGTCTCTGAGAGGTAAACAACAAAAATGGCGCCGGGAGAATTGAGAAGCAGGGTAGAGTAAATTATATATATATATATATATATATATATATATATATATATATATATATATATATATATATATATATATATATATATATATATTATCCCGAACTTTTTGGCGAGACTACCACACGAGAGGTTGTAGTGGATTCCTCCCCTACAAGCACCGAACCTTCTCGAATTCCCCAGCCTGCGCCTCCAGTGCCGCCCACGGAGCGGGGGTCAACTATCTACCCCCGCCTTACAAGGCCTGACACCGCTGTGACCAGCCTCTCTTTCTACAGTGCCACCAGCAAGCAACACCACCTCCTCCGCGCCAGCCAGCGACCTTGGCGTCCCTCAAGCCGCGTGCCCTCACCACCCAGCTCTCTCTACTCAACGCTTATTACCATGCTACCTACCCAGCACCAAGCTGCATTGTACATCCAATACAACATGTATACAGTGAGCACATTGTGAGTTTCCTTTCTCCATCCCATCCTGAGTGTGAACCAATATCTCATACCCCTACAAGGTCTCCTGGCTGACAAGCCTAAATACAATATGGCCCTTAACTCGTGGGACATAATGACCAGGGCACTGACCCACATCAGGCCCTTAACTCGTGGGACATAATGACCAGGGCACTGACCCACATCAGGCCCTTAACTCGTGGGACATAATGACCAGGGCACTGACCCACATCAGGCCCTTAACTCGTGGGACATAATGACTCAGGGCACTGACCCACATCAGGCCCTTAACTCGTGGGACATACTGACCAGGGCACTGACCCACATCAGGCCCTTAACTCGTGGGACATACTGACCAGGGCACTGACCCACATCAGGCCCTTAACTCGTGGGACATAATGACCAGGGCACTGACCCACATCAGGCCCTTAACTCGTGGGACATAATGACCAGGGCACTGACCCACATCAGGCCCTTAACTCGTGGGACATACTGACCAGGGTACTGACCCACATCAGGCCCTTAACTCGTGGGACATACTGACCAGGGCACTGACCCATCAGGCGCAACTCTCGTGGGACATAATGACCAGGGCACTGACCCACATCCAGGCCCTTAACTCGTGGGACAATCAGGCCCTACTCGTGGGACATGACCAGGGTACTGACCCACATCAGGCCCTTAACTCGTGGGACATACTGACCAGGGTACTGACCCACATCAGGCCCTTAACTCGTGGGACATAATGACCAGGGCACTGACCCACATCAGGCCCTTAACTCGTGGGACATAATGACCAGGGTACTGACCCACATCAGAACCTTAACTCCTGAGACATAAAAAGCATAAACTTAGCATGCTTTCCTGTTGCCACTGTAAATGCTTCACCTCACAAGGATGTGTAAAAAAAAAAAAAAAAAAAAAAAAAAAAAAAAATTATATATATATATATATATATATATATATATATATATATATATATATATATATATATATATATATATATATATATATATATATATATATATATATATATATATATTTCTGTAAATCCACAATGGCAGTGAAGATGTCTTGAATAAAAGAAAGCTAAAAAGTACTCCGTTGTTTCCATCTTCCGTGTGATTTTATCAAGATATATATATATATATATATATATATATATATATATA